TTTCTTGACTGCCACTATCAATAATTAAATCAAATAATTTACCCTTGACAGTACATCTGGTACGGAATAATCTGTGCCTTTGAGAAGTATCTTTATTTTTCTGGGGCAGCATTAATTTTCTTACCACACAAGTATACTCTTCATGTTCGTATGGACCCTCTTCATCTTCCCCATCAGGTCCAYAGTATACTTCCTCCTCAACATCCTCTTCCTCCTCCCTTTCTATCATATTAACTGCCTTCCTCCTGGGACAGTCACTGGATCTATGCCCAATCTCATTACATTTAAAGCACTTAAAAGGAGCAGGCTTTGCATAGGGATTACTGGGTTTAGGAGGGTTGGAAGGATTACCTCGAGTATGTCCTCCTGTAGTAGCCTTACCGGCGTTACTTGTGCTTGTCGGGTGAGAAGGTTGTACTGCCGGGACTGATTTGTTCCTGTCGACAGTTGTCGGTCTGTTATCGCTCCCGCTGTACCGACGATAATTATCACTACGTGCCTTGTCTTGGAACATTAATTCTGCTTTCAAGGCTAGGTTCCTTGCTTCCTGCACACTGAGAACCATCTGTACACCAATTTTATCTCTGATGGATGGTCTCAAACCGCTTAGATAACGGGCTGCCTGCTGGTTATCGCTTTCAGATAATTGATTTCTCTCATCTAATCTCAAAAATTCAGATGTATATTCATTAACACTGTGAGAACCCTGCGCACACCTCTGATAAGATTCGAACATATATTGTTCGTAGTCAGGAGGTAAAAATGTACCCCTGATTAATTGTTTCATGTGCCTCCAAGTTCGAACAGGACCCCTTCCTTCTCTCATCCGTTCCCACCAAACAGATGTGCCTCCCTTTAATCGGAAAGCTACTAATTTTACCCTTCGTTCCTCTGGTATTTCCATGTAATCAAAGAACCTATCGACTTCTGTGATCCAATCCAAAAGTCCCTCTATACCAAGATCTCCACTAAAAGTAGGAATATCTACCTTGAGTTTAAATTCATCATTATTCCTACGAGGATTGAAATTACCTTGATTGTGCCAATTTCTACCGTTTCTATCGTTGCCGGGAAGAACTGGAGCACCACCAAATTCGAAATCATCATCACTATCGTCGTCAAGAACTGGACGTCGGGACGCAGTAGCGACGGGTGGTCTGTCGTGGTTGTCTCCTTCGATCTGCTGTGGATTTTCCCGGTTTCGTGGGACAACCTCCCGTAACAAGGTTTGCAATTGCTCAGTCACCTCTGCCAACTGCCATTCAATGTTACGTGTGGCTGTATGCTACTCTTCGATTGCTCTCCAAACAGCTGGAAACCCCTAATCTCTGTCACGGGGTGGGTTGCGACTGCTACCATCTGGGTTGGACATGACAGGGCGAATTCCCTACTCTGATACCACCTGACGCAGCATGGAAGCAATGAGAAACTGGGCTGGCTATGCAAGCACCGGGCGATCGCTAGCTTCTAGCGAAGAGCACCGAATTTTCTAGGAGAGAGAAAAGGTGGCAAAAATAGGAAGAAGAGAACTTGAAGAAATTCTGAAAATCTGAAGTATGAATTGATTTCATTAACTGGAAAATAGCAGTATTTATAATACATCTAGAAATTGAAATTGTAAAAGAACTAGAAATTATAAAAGAACTGGGAAGGAACAACTAGGATAGATTAAAACATCTAATCTAGATAGGATCGAAATCCTCTTTGCCTGATCTCCACCGTCCGATCTCCCTAGATGCATGAATCTTGGATTATCTTGCTAATCTTGATGCTTCTTGGAGTCTTTCTTGATAATCTTGGAAGAGTCTTGGAAGAGTCTTACCTTATCTTGCTAATCTTGGAAGAGTCTTGATAATCTTGGGTTCTTGAATTCTTGATGTATCTTGAATTCCTGAATTATCTTGGATTCTTTGAGTTCTTTGGCTTATCTTGAATTCTTCCCATGAGTTGTCGCCCATATGATGAGATGGGCCTCCATCAGAACTTGTTCGAGAAATTTTGTGGGGGAAAATTTCATCCCTCAGGAGATACTTGGATTTCCAGATTTGGGCCCACCATTTATTTTGCTCATTAAGATATTTCCAGGCAAGTTTTTTCAAAAAGACTAAATTGACCAACTTGATTTATCAAAAGCCTAAACCACCATGTGATTTGGGGAGAGTAAGCTTAGACCAAGAACACCAGTGGTAAGGATGGGATCTGGAGGTTGTTTTTCCCCACCAAAACTTTTCTATAATAGAATTTATGGCCGAAATAGTTTTGTGGGGTAGTTGAATTAAGGCCATCACATGATTAGGGATGGTTTGAAGAACAGAGAATAAGAACCCTTTTACCAGCCTGACTAATTGAAGTAGCTTTCCAAGCATTGAGTTTGTGCTTTAAGTTGTCTAATAGGAACGAAAGCTGATGATGTTTTGAACGACCCCAAATCAGAGGGAGCCCTAAATATGTAGAATTTTTAGGAAGATTTTTCATGTGGAGTTGCCTCCTAATCATGTGCTAGTGATGAGGGTGAGCATTTTCACTAAAGTGGATTCCCGATTTTTCAAAATTAATAAGTTAACCCAAAGAATCTTGAAAAACGTTTAAAATACCCTTTAGATTGTCTAACTCATCTCTATGGCATCTGAGAAATAAGAGAATATCATCAACAAAGAGGAGATGAGAGATAGAGGGGGCTCGAATAGAAAGTTGAATACCTTGGATTTGATTTTCTGATTCTACTTTATGAATTAGACGAGTAAGACATTCTATGGCTAGAATAAAAAGATAGGGGGATAAGGGATCCCCCTATCTTAGATCTCAGGAGGGGATGATTTTACCCTCAAAAGCACCATTTATGAGAACAGAATAGGAGACAAAAGAGAGACATTCAAAAATAATTTTACAGAATTCAGAAGAAAAACCTAGGGCTTTGAGTATTTCGAGAAAAAAATGACCATTCCATTTTATCATAGGCTTTTGCCATATCTAACTTAATAGCTACGTAATCTATACCACTTTTATGATGTTTTATGAAATGGAACATTTCATGGGCAATAATGGTATTGTTTGTCATTTGTCTGCCCGGGATAAATGTTGATTGATTGGGAGAAATGCATCTTTTAAGGATAGTACAGAGCCTATTAGCTAGAATTTTTGGAAAGATTTTATAGATAACATTGTAGAGACTCTTGCACTTTAGTACAATTTTCCTTTTTTGGGATGAGATAAATAAAGGTAAGATTTAGTCTCTTTGGAAGTCTCTTGTTTTGGAAGAATTCTTGAGCAAAGGTGATGATTTCAGTGCCCATTTCTAACCAGTATTCTTTATAGACTAGGGTAGGAATACCATCTGGACCAGGGGATTTAAGACTGCCAATACTAAAAAGGGATGCCTTGGTTTCTTCTTTAGAAGGGATAGCAGTAAAAAAAGTATTATCCTCGGTGGTGATAGCAGGGGAAATAACTTCTAAAATAAAAGATAGATTTGAGGAATCTTTGTGGATGAAGATGTCTAAAAAATAAGAAAGGAAAGTACTAGCAATCTTTTTATGGTTTGTAACGCAAGATCCCTGGGAATTTTTGATGCCCTGAATTTCATTTCTTTTCTGACAACAAATAGCATTCTTATGAAAATAATGAGTGTTTTAATCTCCCAAAGTCGGCTAGAGCTGTCGAGATTTATGTCTTTTGAAACTTTTTAATTGAATCTGAATTTCATCATCTTGTTTGTAAAGATTAGTAAGTAGATCCTTGTCTCAAGGATTGGACTGTTCAATTTGAATAATTTGGGGCTCCAAGTGGCTTAATTTAGTTTGAGGATCAGAATACTTTAGTTCCTCTAATTAATTAAATTGTGCTTAATCTGATCCAATTTTGTGGTAATTCGGAAGGTTGCATATCTTGAGGCAGGAGAGTTCTAGCCCTTAATGATTTCAAAATAGCAAGACTCTTTAGAAAGCCACATCTCATAAAATCTGAAAGGTTTAGGATATTGGGTTACTCTAGGGGTGGAATTAAAAATCAGGGGGTGATGGTTTGAGCCCCATCGAGCTGCCAGAGATAAGGATGCATGAGGAATGGCTAAAATCTGGTTTGGGGTTGCTAGGCACCTATCTAGGGTACGGTTTATTGGGCCAACAGTTCTTTTGTTTGACCAGCTTAGGTGACCCTCTTGAATGTCGATTTCCATTAGATTCTAATTCAAAACCATGTGGTGGTACTGAGAGGAGGTAAGCCTAGGTGTGTCAGTAGAAGTTGAGGGATCTTGAATGTTCACGTGATTTGCCTCATTAAAATCTCCAATTAATAAGGTAAGTTGAAAGCGTGAAGGTCAAGATGAAGGTTAGACCAAAAATTGTTTTTGTGAAATTTCACCGAAGGTCCATAAATACAACCTAACAAAGGAGAAGAAATTTCGAAAAAGACATACCTAGATCTGGTGACAAAAAGAGATGCAGACAAAATATTCCAAAAGACGACTATTCCTCCTTCTCGACCTATAGGAGGAATAAAAAAAGAATTAGTAAAATTAAGGCAATTTGATATAAGTTGCATCTTGTCGATAAGGATTTTAGTTTCACATAGAAAAAGGAAGTCAGAACTAAAATCCCTAGTCCTCGAACTGCCTTGGGGCGTGCAGCGCCTTGGCAGTTCTAACTGATGATCAACATTGGTGGTCTTGTGGCTGTTGCAGGCCAGCCACCACCGCCTTTTCTAGAGAAGAGTAAAACGAAAACAAAATGAAGCTCACCTGACTGGTACGATCTGTTAGAGGTTCACCAAATGTCAGAGCTTCAGAAGGCAGATTAGGATTTAAAGGGACTATGTTCACAATCCTTTTAGTTTGATTACTCTAGTTGGAGGATTCTGGTCTGTCATAAATGGGTAGAGTAGGAGAGTCCTCTAACTGTAAGTGCTAAAGTAGATCGATACGAGGGCATTTACCTCGAGACGAAGATGCGCCCATCGGATGTGGCAGAAAAATATTGTTAATGGCAATTTGAGCATAAAGAGCCATGTTGAAAGTTTCCGGGGAAACACGAAGGGTAGGAGTAGTATGGGTAGTTGCATTGGTAGAGGAGGTACCTAATGTGACACTAGCAAGGGTTGAATTCAGAGGATTAAGAGGAACTAAAGTGGGAGAGGGTGAAGAGGTTGGTGATTTAGAGGTTACCGGGGGTTAAGGGTTTTGAACTAGGTTGCGAATGTGAACAAAGTCACGGAAGGAGGGGCGACACCAATTACGATGAATTTGGATCTCGGCTCGAAGCCAAGGACCAGGGAGGTGCATGGAATGACCATTAACATATTGTTCATAAGTTTGGCCGATGAAATAGGGAAGAGGTTGAGAACAACACCGGTACATATGTCCAACTTTACCATAGAGATAACAGGTGTCAGGGAGATCTTCATATCGATAAACAACCCAATTGGTAGCATTGAATAAAGAACCAGTTTTCAAAGGCTGGTCCACAATAATTTAATGAGTGGGACCTGTATGTTCAAAAATTGGACGACCAACATCTATTGAGAGGATTTCATAAGGGATATCATGTAACTGAACCCAGATTTCAATCTGGTTGAGCTGCCATTCATATTGAGGTTGCACTGGCACCAGGGTTTTAGGATTATCCACCGGCAATCTAACATCTAGGGACCATTTTCTCGAATATGAACAACGTCTGCTTCATAATGAAAACGCAGTGAGAAATGACCTCATTGAAAAGGGGCAAGGAAGAGACGGGTGCTATAGAGGCGCCACATATTATAGAGACCTTCTTCCAATTTAGATTCAGAGAACTGATCAATTAAGTGAGGAAAGATACGACAGATAAAGGAAAATTGCCAATCCTCATGGAGGTTTTCAAGGATATGGAGACGTATGTCAATGAAGTCGATTCTAGGGATGGGATCTGCTTGGAGCATATGTTCCCATAGTTGGGGTAATGATACTGAGGAGAATAGACTAGTAGAAAGAAAGGAGCGAGTTAGCTAGTAAGGGTTAAGCGGGGGAAGAGAAGGAGAAGGAAGAAGAAAGTAAATGAAATAGAAGAAGAAAAAATGATTATCAGATCTTCGCAGCCCAAAATGATGATAGTAAAGCACAGGTGGCAGACGTAAACTAATACGAGTCAGGTAGGAATAGGTTAGAGTAATTAAGAGAAGGGACAGATGAAAAGACATTGGAGAGGAGGGAACTAGGAGGGAAACTAAAGAAGGATTTAGTTTAAAAAGCAAACTAGAAAGCAACTAATTAAGAAAAGCAACTAGAAAGAGAATAAACGAGCGAAAGAGAAACTGGGAAGGAAAAGATACACTCGAATTAAAGGCAAAATAAGAATAGTAAAAGAGAGCGATAAAAATCACAAAGAAATAACAAAACACAATAATAGTAATTAGCTAGAAAGAAAAGAAGCAAAGAAGAAATACTTCCTGTAACTGAAACACAAGTAGTAGAACAAGGATACTTTAAGCGCAGAGCTCCGCTCTGAATAAGTTCAAGTTTGTGGAGCTTCACCTCAAATTCATCTTTTCATCGACGTAACTTCTCACTTGAGAAGGAAACTCATCAAACCATACCATACGCCAACTCTCTTCTTTCAAGGCTGTTACATGCATTTCTATAGTTCTCTAAAACTTGCTCTCACTTATCAAAGCCTCCAAGACCTCATCAGGTTTTATTGTTTAAAACTTACCTTCCCTTATATAGGTTTGGGTGGAAATGCCAATGTAGATGAGGATTTTGGCGAGTTGGCGCTGAGAGAGAGGCAAAGTGGAGGGCCATGGAGGGACGATGGAGCTGCTGCATGTGAAACATTAACGATGCTTACCCCAACCATAAGCAAAGACGGTTTGATGCACAAAACCTTCGACAATGCCTCTGTATCTGTAGTCTCTACTCTTTCCTTTTTATATTCTTGGTCTGTGACTGTACGAAAGTTGTTGTAAAGTACCAAAGTCACAAAGTTCCGATGCATTGCCTATAGTTTGCTTCAATCTACGTCATGAGCTTCACTGTCACATGAAACTTGAAAGCACAAAAAACCCGTCCAATAGGGCGGGAATTGCCGCTTCTCAAATTTATTTAACATAGCTATTAGCCTATCTCAACACATTGTAGATCGTGTGAAGGGTTGGTGGAATATAAGTAAAAAGGATTACCAAATTCATAATTTATTTACGTGTATTGTCACATCTATCATTTTGTGGATCATTTGGAATGAGAGATGAAAGCGGGTGTTTGAAGGCAGTGGATCCTAATTAATCCCATTCTCTGATTAACAAAGTAAAAAAATATGGTTAGTTGAGATTGATGCATTACAAGAAGATCCTAAATCAAATGATCCCAAGTCACTAGTGCTTCATTATCTTAACATACACATTAAAACAGCAAAAAGGAATAAAATTAGGTGGGTTTCTTGGAAATTCCCTACTTTATTTGAATTCAAGTTAAATGTAGATGGGGCTAGCTGTGATAACCCAGGAACAAGTAGTGGTGGAGGTGTAATTAGAAAGGTTTATGGTCGTTTGTTGTTTGCTTTTTCTAATTCCTATGACTATACTACCTCTCTTCAAGCTGAATTCCTTCCTCTGTTGGATGGTTTTCGGCTTTGCCGCAATAATGCTATTTTATCAATTGAGGTGGAGAGTGACAATTCAAGTCTAGTTGATATAATGAATGACAAACGTTCCTCCCCTTGGTTGATTTTTTTACACAATGCTTACTGGCATGAATATTGTCAATGGTTTTCAAAATTCGATCAGACCAGATGGTTGGACAGGAAAAATTGGGAACTGGTCAGGCATTTTTCAAACCAGATTTTTAATAAAAAATCGTTGATTTGATCAGCAAATTATTGACTCGAGAGATTGAACTGTTCAAACCATTTGAACTGTCTAACGGTTTTGACTGGTTTTTATTTTTTTAGTTTTTATTTTTATTTTTTTGTCAGAATGGGCTGACTGTTCGACCTGGGAACCAGAACCCTGACCGGTTCGTTCTCTGGGTCAGTTTTAAAAACCTTAATCTTGCCAATAAAAGTATTGAGGATAACAGATTGGTCATATTAGATATAGTCTCTCACCTTCCTCAAGTTCTTATTACTCATTGTCGAGAGAATTATATCAATGTTCCTATATTGGTTTTGGATTTCTGATTGTATGTGTTGAGTTTGGGCTGAGTTTGTATCTTGGTTTTGGGGAAAGGTGGGCTATGACCTTCCCTGTTATATTTTATTTAATCTTTGATAATGATTAATAAAATTTAAGGTGGCCGTCCCTCCACTTGAAAGTAAATTTTGGGTTAAAAAAAGCCTTGATTCCATATATCCAACGATCTCAGATCAATTGTAAATCTCATATACATACATGAGAACCAAAATTAATCATTAGGGTTCTAATGTTCGAGCTAGTCCTCTGGGGATATGTTGGACTGAGTTAAAAACGGAGCTAGCGTCTCAAAAGTATCATGCATTATTCTTATGTGCCTAATTATTTCTTCAACACAGCTCTTACTTGTTAAAAAGGACAATATATATATATATATATATACCATATGCATTTACTTTCTGCTTTTCAGTATCCAATGGAAATTCTTATAAAAGACTGAAGACTTTAACCAATTACATCTTTTCCAAGTGGACTAGGTCTCCGTCTCACTTTTTCATATGGAGTGAACACTCAAATTCCTATTTAATACTGGGGCCCTGGTTATTTGGCATTATAGTACGTAAGAGACAAAATCTAACCAGAATGAAGTGCAACCTACAGGTAAGTTAGTGGGGATTAAAATCACAACCTATTTCTTTATCCATGACAATGGGGTAAGACTCAGTTTGGAAAGAATACAAATATAAATATGTATAGTTCAAATTCATATAAAATAATACAAAGTAAAAGGTTGTTAATGCACTCTACAAATTTGTGTTTGCACTCCTAAACTGAGTTAAGGAATGTGTAAACAGAACACTTAATATTGTAGCATAGATAAAAGAAAATGCTCAATAGATCTATCGCTGACTTTTCAAACTGGAAAAAGTAACAGGTTAATGTATTCATATTGGACAATAAAGAAGAAAAGGTTAAGACTTTTCACTCTATAATATCATTAATTTAAGACTCGGCAAGAGACCAGACAGTCTGACCACGAAAACAGGGAGCTGGTGGAATTTCTGAGTCCCGGTTAAATGATGATTTTTATAGGCTGGACGGGTGAACCACCCAGTTAACCGACAAAACTGGGATCCGTGGAACATTACAGTTTTTAGCTTGAACTGATTGACTGATTGCTTTGTCTTTTTAAATGGTCAAATTAAATAATTAATATATAAAATATTTTATTGTTGTCTTGATAATCCATCCACCTAGGAAATATTTTAAGGTGGCCGCTCCTTCACTGGAGTAAATTTTGGGGTTAAAATAAAAATCAATCCACCAATAAATAGTAATTGACGACGGCCCATTACTAACTGGATAAGCTTTTTGCTTTTGTGCTGTGCTCTGGGTGTGTGTGAGAAATAAAAATGAGTTCTGAATGCTTGGTGAGAAATAAGAATCGCTTTTAAAGTGTCAACCTGTCAATGGGTCCCCATACCTCCCATCGACTTGACTTTTAATCCTGTCTGAGTTTATTCACACTTCTAGGATAGTGTTAATTAGCAGTAAGTTTCTCGCTTATTGGTGACTGTAGATTTGGCCCTCCAATGATATTGTGATATATGGTATTTCAGAACAAGTAGGTGACACTCGGAATCATTTTGGCAATAATTTGTCTTAGTCAAGTTGATGGTGCCTCACCTGACGGCCTGGCCCAAGTGCGACCTGGCGGCCTAGCCCAGGCACGACCTGGCGGCCTAGCACAGGCATCGACCTGGAGGCCTCGCCCAGGCGTAAACTGGCAGCCTGGCACAGGTGCCGACCTGACGGTCTGGCACGGGTGCCAACCTGGCGACCTGGCATAGGCGCCGACCTCGTGACCTACGAGACGTGCTCGCTGACAAATTCAACATGCACATCCTAACACTCCCATGATCATTGGAAGTTGGCCCGCGTGCCGAACGATTTGGAGGGTGGTCAATGTGCATTGCGGTTACCTTTAAGAATCTCGGACCATTTAGACAACCTTGAGGAATCTCGGATGTGGTGTGTGAAGTCCACGCCAAACAATGCCCATATAAAGACGCCAACCCCAATTGCATAGGGGGGGCAAGTAAGCATATTCTAGCTCTCATACTTCGTGATTTTTAGCTCGCAATCTACTATGAGAGTACTGACATAAGCATCGGAGCGACCTCGCCCGGTTAGCCACCCCGGGTCCTCTGGCATTGGTTCCTCGCAGGTCTCTAAAGAACTATGAAGCTCAACAATCAATCAAGCTCGGCACCTGATAGGCAGCTTGGCACTCTAGTAAGCTCGGCACCTAACCTACCTAGCTCGGCCCAGTCAGTTCGGCACCTAACCTGTCCAGCTCGGCTCAGTCAGCTCGGCACCTAATCTGCCCCTAGCTCGGCCTGGACCCAGCATACAGGTCCTCATCCAGCAAAAGTTCTCCACTTCGGCCTCTGAGTCATCGGCCACTTGGAAGCAAACCAAATGATGAGGTACTTAGCACGAAAAATTGATACATCACCAAAAATTACTTCATCAATTGTCGTCGTCTGTGGGAAACGCTACAAAAAGCCAAATTCTCATCGGCTAAGTCCTCTCCTTCCAAAAAGCTAAGTTCTCACCTTTTAGAAACTAAAAGCTCTCACTTTCTAGTTTCCATTTTTTTATGAACTCAAAGGCTATGTGGAAAGTTGATGACCAACAAACTAAGCAGGTCTACCAACTTTATTTCAACTCGGATAAAGCATCATCAGTCCTCTTCGCGAAGTACCCTCTACAAAGATGAGCTCTTCTTGGCTTCCGCGGGAACAGGCGGCCAACAGACTACATGGATGCCCCTACCGGTCGAGCCTTCCAAGACTCCCGTACGAGTTGGTGACCTAAACTCAGTAATGTTACCCTCGTAGATCGAGCACCAGTAACTTCTTGTAAGAATGGGCCGGTTTAGAATCAGACTGGGCCCGCCCAAATTGCACCCCTATGTTAAATGAGCATTTGATAAATATTTTCACATTCGTCAAAAGTGGATATTAATCTTTTTTAAAAGTGGATGAAGGTATTTTAAAGTACAGGTATCAAAAAAATTTTTAAATACTCATTAAACTTGCTTACAACTTCGTGCCTACCTCATCCCAACCCCATCGTTACATAAGTGTTAATTCAAAAATGCTATTTGATAATATTTATAATCATTTGTCTTGATCGATCTGTATAAAAACTAACGGGAAAACATCGTTTTTTAATATTTCTCCCAACACCTATCGACTTATGTGACGCCTAATGGTCTCAAATGGCATCCAACGGTCAAACAATGTCAATAAACGTTTAATCTCGTGTTTCAAGACAAATCTAATGTGCCGATGCATTTCAATAATTTACTAGTAATCACGAGAAGGTAATAAATATTTAATCTGACTGTTATAATTTTTTATTGTCCAAATTTGCAAATAGTAAAAATTAACAAACAATGGACATAGGTCTTAGCCACATGTTAGTAATACTAAAGTCGATGACACAAACCAAAATATACGTCTTAGCTCGAGGGTCTATTATTATATTTTATTTGATTCGAAAGAGAGAAGAACAGTATAACACGAAAAGCTATTACAGCATCGCCATAAACCTAACCCAGAAATATCCTCCATAAGATTTTGAATGATAGAAATAGTACGATTTTCAAATTACATAATTCTAGTAGTAGTATTATCATCCTTTAATTTTTTATTATATTTGCATCTATTCTTTTCTCGGTAGAGTGAGACTGAGAGAAGATAATTGGACTGCATTGGTCCATAAACTCTAAAATTGCTTGAAATAAACTTTTGGCTTGCCATACATGACATTTTATTACACCCAATGCCAAAATAGTAGAAAGAAAATCCAATTCAACTATAATATCCTGATATCCTGGATCCCTGACCCCACCCATGCCTTCATATACCTTCCAAAGGTTAGCCATTTCATTTGTTGTGGTTCCAATGTAGACCCAAATTCTTTCCTAAATGGTCACAAAATAAATTAGCTGCATTGGCTGATTAATTAGTTTGGCTCCCCACACATGCCCCACAGTTCCCAATACAAGCTGAGACGTGCTGTCGCGTGAATTTGGACTACTTTTGTAAATTAAAATAAAATAACTCTTTATTTCTTCAAATATTGCATAAATGTTTCTTTACTATTTGTTTAATATTGTTGTTTATTTTAACTTTATAGAACTGCAAATTAGGAAAGTCCATTCTCATACCTATATTTCTACTAGTGGAAAAGCTATTTATTCATTTAGGAGATGGGCATAAGGTTCAAAATATCGATAAACTGATGTATCAGGTGAATCAATATTCTTTTTGGTGTTTTTGTTTTTTGTCAACTGGTTCAGGGGAGCCGGTTTACGTCTTTGCCACACCCTGAACTGGTCAGACCACCGATACACTCATTGTAAGAGCGTATTAGTGAGGTGCCAAAACGATACGTATTGATCGATACGTGTCAATACTTTGAACATTGAATGGGTATCATTTACCTGGATAAGTGATACACCGAAAATAAACTTTCTTTGATCCCCACATAAATCTAGAAAAAGAACATTGGATTTTTGGTCAATGGGAACCAAAATCACATTGACCAACTTCCCCTCTTTCAAAATCCAAAAATGGGAGGCTCCCCAAAATCTCTACTGTAGCCAGCTAGAAACCTTATTTGATCTAGTATATATAGGATCACTATTGCTAGATTTAATGAAATTTATGGATTTAAAGACCGTCATTCTTGTTTGCTCTTTATTTCCTTTTTCTATGGCACAGTGAGTCTCAACTAGGGAATTATACTTGGAATCATTGTAGGATATTATGCACCTTTGCTGAACTTGGAACCTACCCTATAGGGACGGTGAGCATATGGGTCAGTTTGGTTCGATTCCACGGCATAACCTAGAACCTACCCTTTAGGGGTCATTTCCATGCTTTGGGGTCAATTCCATGGTCTACCCATAGAACATATTCTTTCTTTACTTCCCCCTCCCCCGCTCATTCAAAATAAAAATTAAAAATGCCCTTTAAAATTTTGATTTTCAATAATGATAATATACAGTTTAAAACTTATATTATCTTTATTGATTAAATTGAGTAACTTAATATATGGTTCAAAATTTGTCATTATAATTTAAATTTTGTAAATATTACATCTTTCATTATTTATTATATACATTCAAATATTAAAATGAAAACAAATGATCAAATCACTTAACTAACTCAATAGTAAAATGTGACCATGCCTTTGTAACTATGAGTGTTTGGGTTCAAATCTTTACATCCTTAAATATATTTTGGGGTTTAATTCAAGACAAGTTCAGTTCCGAGGTCATTTCACCAAGGTCGGTTCATTGGGTTGGTTTGGGTAGGGTAAACCCCTTGGCCCTGAAACTGACTTGAGTGGGGTCGGTTCCATGAATTTGGAACCAAACCTTACCTGTAACAGATTGAGTAGGGTCAGTTCAAAGTTGGTTTGAGGTCAGTTCCATTTGGTTTTGGGTAAAACCTATCCATTTGCTCACCCCTATTTACAATTCAATTTTGCAAGTATAAGAATATAATTTAGCATTAATAATGACAATAAATTTGTCTTTGACAATTTTACATTTAAAATGAGAGCAAATTTTTGCATTCAAAGTAAGTTCATGTATAGGTAGATTTTAGTTTTGAAATTCATGTTTGTGTCCATAAGAAATTATATTTGGTAGAAATAGAAAACGTATCAATGCAAAACTAAACTAAATTTGCATTTTCATAAAGGGTCAGTTTGGAAAGAGTACAAATACAAAAAAGAGTACAAATTTGTACTCTTTCCAAACAGAGCTAAAAGGAAAAATATTTGCACTTGCACTCTTGAGAAATGCAAACTTAGACTTAGTGGTGAGATTTTATGGGACAATGTTGATGACAAAAGGCAACATGGGTAGAAAAAGTAGTAGGCCTTCCCGAACCGGAATTGCAGATAAAAGAAAGACTAATTCAATATAAATGAAAATGCGAATAGGATTTGTGGTTGAGGGACCGAATCAATAATTCACAACTATAACATCATAAAGATGGTGTATGCTTTTTTGACAAAATCCACTAAAGAAGAGAATCGGAGGAAGATGATTAATTAATAGTGAGACATGCATTGACCAAGTGTCTCTGTAGCTTCTTTTGTCTTATTAGTCTACTTGCGTAAGAATTTCCAGAGGTCCTGTGTCCTTAATTTTTCAGCATCTAGAACTAGTAGTCTATAAATGAGGGAAGCGGTATACACCCCGTAAGAAAACCAAAAACCAAAAAAAAAAAAAAGGAGAGAAAAAGAAACAGAGATTTATGGTTTTGCTTGTGCTTCTTCAGTTGCTTTGGCTATGGCCAATGGCAACAGCATCAACGGCAAGGACCGGTTGCCAGGAAAAATGTGGAAACATCACCGTTCCCTACCCCTTCGGCATCGGCGATGCAAATTGTTACAGAAAATTGTACGATGTAACCTGCAACCACTCTTTCATCCCTCCCAAGCTCTTCTTGGGCAAAGGTAAAGTGGAAGTTTTAAATATATCATCAGAAGGCCAACTGCGAATCAACAGTACCATAGGCTTCACTTGCTACGATAGATCGGGAGATAAGATTAGTGAGCACTTGTCCTGGATCGATTTGAAAGCTAAGCCATATACATTTTCAGACACCTACAACAGATTCACGGCTCTGGGGTGCGACACAATTGCCACCATAACAGGCTCCAAGGGTTGCGATTTCAAGACTGGATGCTCTATGCTCTGCAACAGCATTGACAACGTCATTAATGGGTCTTGTTCAGGCATTGGTTGTTGCCAAACCTCCATCCCCAAGGGATTCAAGAAATTCGACTTGGAGTTAGGGAGCAATAACAACCACACTGATGTTGTTGATTTCAATTGGTGTAGTTACGGTTTCCTTGTTGACCATGAGTGGTATAACTTCTCGGGGGCCGATCTCTCTCTCTTTTCCACCAGACACGACACACAAGTTCCACTCGTGTTGAACTGGGCAATAGAGGGTTTTGGGTGCGGAAATGCTTCGACGAGTGACCTAAATTACGCATGCGGCAATAACAGTGAATGCATCAACTCTCCCAACGGGCTTGGATATCTATGCAGGTGCTCTCCAGGTTACCAAGGAAACCCTTATCTGAAAGACGGCTGTCAAGGTAGGGACTAATCTCCTCTTTCTTTATACATACAATTAAAAGATGCGATCGAGTACTTCTACTTGGTTAATTTTAGAAATTCCGGGATATATATATATATGTTAAAAAGCTGAGTACATGAGATGTAAATAATGGGTTGCAATCCAACTAAGAACGATTGCTCGGACATTTGCATCAATACGCCTGGAAGTTACAACTGTTCTTGCCCGCCTGGGACGGAGGGAGACGGAAGAAAGCATGGACGATCTTGCGTAGCCCCTCCGCATGCACTAAAGCAATCTATGCTCATACGAGTCACCACAGGTAACAAAGTTCATGCTCTACATTCCACATTAAGTCAACTGTCAACGGGTACCAAAAATAAATAAATAGAATAAATAAAATAAAATAAAATTGGCTCCTCCCTGAGTGCCTGGTAGCACCAAACGAAGGCGGCCCGTGGTCCACACTCCACAGGCCACAGCCCAGCCTGTCTATAGCGCTCTTCCTGTGTGATGCATCTAGCAGACTAGCACAGCCACAGGCCCACAGTAACACCGAGAGTCTTTAAAAACTAACGTGTCATGTGGGAAAGCCATGTTGATTGTCCTGGCTGTTTAGGTGTGCAAGTTGGGTGGATTCGGCAGGTTTTATCGTCTAATTTGATGCATTAAGCTTGGGATTGGGCCCGGGCCAGGCTCAAGTTGGTCACTAAATTTATTCTTAAATTATATATATGCAAATATGTGTATATATATATAGATAGATAGAGTTGGACTGGACTTGGACCGGGTTGAAACTACCTAAGGTCTAAGCCTGAGTCCGATCTTACCCTGTAGATTGAAAAACTAAACCCAACCTGTGTCTGAATTGATTTGGTCTCGGGTTAGACCCGCCGAAATTAACCCCTATGGCTGTCAGACTTGACCAGCCAAACTAGCTTTCCCACTCCAACCTTATACAAAATATTGAGGTGGCTCTACGGATGATAGGGGTGTAATAGAATTTTGAGCTTTGCAGCTTTGACCTGGCCCATACGAGTTTACATGTGGGCAGGTTAGGTCCGGGCCCAAGGTTTTCAATTCTATGCTCAAGCAGCCTTATGGCACTCGTGGGTCAGAGTCGTCAGACCAAGCATTGACTATAGGCATTGTCCGGAAACATATGGTGCATGTACACCCTCTTTAATGGATAGAAATTGTGGGATTTCATGTGTGTAACTGAGGGAGTGAGTTATACCCAAAAAAAACAAGGACAAATCAATATTTTGCCCAAACTAATGGCATAAACGCTTTAAAGACAATTATTTTGTTTTTACTGTTGGAGGGTAGCTTACATTACTTTGGAATTCTACAGTAAAAGTATTTTTCCTTGTCTGATATACAGGATCCTTGTATGACTTGTGGTGATTGTTGTTGTGTCAATGTAGGCACAGGCTTAGGCATTTTGTTCCTACTTATTGGGAGCGCTTGGTTATACTGGGGATACCAAAAGAGAAAGATAATCAATCTCAGAGAGAAATTTTTCAAGCAAAATGGAGGTCTTCTACTGAAGCAACAACTCTCTTCACATGATACAACTGTAGAAGTTGCAAAAATCTTTACTGCAGATGAGCTTGAAAAGGCAACTGACAACTATGATGAGAGTCGAATCCTTGGTCGTGGTGGCTATGGTATAGTGTACAAAGGAATTTTATCTGACAACAGGATGGTCGCCATTAAGAAGTCCAGAATAGTTGATGAAGGACAGTTTGAACAATTTATTAACGAGGTGGTTATTCTCTCTCAAATCCATCATAAGAATGTTGTGAAGCTCTTGGGTTGTTGCTTAGAGACTGAAGTTCCACTATTAGTATGTGAGTTTGTTTCTAATGGAACCTTATTCCACCATATTCATGATGAGGGACACAAATCTTCAATTTCGTGGGAAAATCGTCTAAGGATAGCCACAGAAACAGCAGTAGCACTTGACTATTTACACTCTGCAGCCTCTCCTCCAATCATTCATAGAGATATTAAATCCTCTAATATACTCTTGGATGAAAATTATATGGCAAAAGTGTCAGACTTTGGGGCTTCAAGATTGGTTCCATTAGACCAAACTCAGTTTACTACATTAGTTCAAGGGACATTGGGTTACTTGGATCCAGAGTATTTTCATACAAGTCAATTAACAGAAGAAAGTGATGTTTATAGTTTTGGCATAATTCTGGTAGAACTATTGACTGGAAGAAAAGCACTTGAATTTGAAAGACCTGAAAAGGAGAGAAACTTGGCTACCCATTTTGTAACCTCAATGAAAGAAGACAATGTTTCAGAAATTTTGGAAGGCAGAGTTCTAAATGAATGCAGCAAGAATCAACTCCAAGAAGTCGCTCAGCTTGCTAAGAGATGCTTAAGTGTGAAGGGAGAGGAAAGACCAACGATGAAAGAAGTAGCTATGGAGTTAGTGGGGTTAAAGACGTCGAACAAACACCCATGGGTAGAACAAAATCTTGAAGAAACAGAATACTTGCTTGGTGAGACATCGGTTTCTAATAATGGCAATAATATTGTCTATGATAGTTTAAAGAATCAAGTTGTGATACCTTTGGATAGTGGGCGTTGATCATTTAGTTCTTCAACTAAATGTTCTGCTTCTTACATCTCTTAAGAATTTGTGATATTTGCAATGATTCTTAATTAGCTTCTTTTTTTTTGACAAGTGCATCTTAATTAATTAGTTATGTTTGATTTCCAACAAAATAAATTTCTCAACGACAATGAGTAGTTGCTCTTAAATAAATTATTATCCTCTTCATATTATTTAATCTGTTATCCATAAATTTTCTTTGCCGTTTATTGGTGAGAAAGGATTGTAAAATTACAGTTGGAGGTAGTGTTACATGAATAACTTTCAATTAATTAAATAGGGAAAATTTTCAATAGGTATCCTGTACTTTAGGTCGAGTGCCAATTTAGTACCCAAACTTTAAAGCGCGATAATCTAATATCAGAACTTTCATTTTATGATAATCTAATATCTATCGTTAATAGACCGCCAATTATATATCACGTGATCTCATGTGAGATTTATAACTTTTGAAAATATTAAAATTATCCTTAGACACTATTTATCATCTTTTTTCTTAAGAAAATAAAACAAAATCCAAATACATTATTTATCATCTTCTTTCTCAAAAAAAAAAATAAACATCAGATTCCAAAAAACCCAAATCTCTTGATGGAGGTAAGATGAATTGAGTTCTCCAATTAATGTTACCTCAGAAATGGAGTTCTCCAAATAAATGTCAGGGTGGGGAATCCAGTCGTAATATGAAACAGAAACCTTCATTCAACAGGAAACATAAATTTTAAATAAATAAGGTGAAAGTGTCAAATCAACTGGATCCAGATTACTGAATCAACTAACGATTAATATCTGTAGCCTGTGACGAATTGAAACCCACCATCAAGTTCGGAATATGTGGGTGATGGACCGGGTCAAAAAATTGAAACCTACTGACACTTCACGTTCGCACATGCTCAAGGTTCTTTGACAAGGTCAACTGAGGTAGTCACCAGAACTCCGTTAACCAAAAGTATTAAAATTTCGTAGCCGGACTCATGATGTGGATGTGGGGGTGTGATGTTATCTGATTGCATCACTGGCATGTGTAGAAACCGACAAAAGTTTCGAAATTCGTCAACTCTTCATTTAATTATTTTACAACGAAGTAAAAAATTGGTTCAGTTTGTGAAGAGTACGAACCCATACAAATATAATCACTTTAAAACCTTGTATATTGTATTTGTAAATCTTGTATTTTTGCTTTACATATTTTTATTTATATTATTCGCAAATTGACACTAAGAGATAACTGTTTTATTGCAATTTTCAGGACTGTTTGTTCGGAATACACCTAGCCTGAACGAGGGTTAAACAATACCCTGCAAATTTTTTAATAAGAAAGAATAAATTAAAGATGGCCACCATCTTGTTATTTAGGGTAGTGACATTTTGCTCCTGAGCTTTTATTTGTGATAAATACAAGGTTTTCAAAATACAAAAATTCTATAGTTTTATTTTTTTACTTTTGTAAAATTTTCCCTATTTCCTCAATTTCGTTTTTCTTGTTTTTTTTTTTGCAATTTTATGTTTTCTGTATTTTACTCTTTTTCTCATTTTTTAGTGTATTTTCTGCAATTTCCTTCCTTTCTTTTACTTTTAATTTTTTAATGCATTTTATTAATTTTCTATGAAATAATCTCATTTTTTAATGCATTTTATTAATATAACCAATCCTATGTTAACTAGGATTCACCGCATCTTGAAGTTAGCAACCTCGGCTATAATCACCAGGGCGATCTTGTCTCTTGCGAGGTCCCGGTCTGATCTCTCCGTCCTATGTTCCTCCGTGTCCCTCCTCTTCTTCTAGGGCTTTTCTTCTTCTTCATCCTATAGTTGCGCCTAGGCTTCCTCTGCGTTGATGTACTTATGCGCATGTGCCATTAGCGATGGTCTGAGGGGGGTTCTTGGAGATGGAGAAGTTGAATGGTGATGGGCGGAGTCCGTGCTGAATGGTTGTGACGGCCACCGATTGGTTAATGTTATAGACCTGGAGTGCTTCAGCATTGAACCTCACCAAGTAGTCCCTGAGAGATTTGTTCTTCCTTTGCCGCCCCTACATGAGGCTGGCCTAGGTTTTCCAGTGTTTTTGACTTGATGTGAACTGCACTAGATACAGGCTCTCCAGATTCTCCCATGATGATATAGAGTGTGGGGAAAGAGAGGAATACCAGGTCAAGGGTGGGCCCTTAAAGGTGGCCTCGAGAGCCTTGCACATCAAACCTGAAGGAATGGTAGGATCCATCTAATGGACGCCAAAAGATTGTGGAATGGATGGCCAAATTTCAAAAATTTCCTACCTTCCTCCAACTGGGAATTGTATTCCCTAAATTTAGAATACCATATTCAAGGATCTTATTTGAACCATAATCGAACCAGATCTGAACCACAAGGTAAAAGGGAGGATTATACCTGATCCGGAGAAGCAGTATCTCCCAAAGGTTGGTGTTCATGCCCAAAGAA